GCTGTGGCGGCGTCCCATATAAAGTGGAGGAAGATGGGCATGGATGTTAGCCCAGGGCCAGTCTTCCTCAGCAAAAAAAAAGAGGAGGATTGGCAGATATTAACTCAGGGCCAATCTTCCTCACACACACACACACAAAAAGATAAGAACAAGCTTAGGCAGATTAGCAATCCAATTCACGTTCACAATGAGAATGTCCCACACTCCTACTTCTTTCTCATAAAAGTTCCACATTTTCTGTTCAAAAAACCAATAATGGATGCTTTTACTTGGTCACATTCTTAGTGTTCCCTTTTTAAGAATTTACTGCTGAAGTAAACTACTACTCTCTTGAGAGTATTACTACAAAGAAATCCTTCCTACTCCTATTCCTTTCACTAACTCTTATAAACACAAATGAAAGATAAGTTGTCTAGGCCAGTGCCACTGAAAGCGGGTCCACAACAAGATAAGATGCTCATGCCAGAATGTGAATCACTGGACTATCTTCTTCATGCTGAAAGTCTTGGTCCAAAAAAAGAAAATGTCAGCTGAATTAAGTAATAAATAGTGTACTTAGTGATGCAGTTGGTTTACATTTTGGGTGCAAATTCTTAATCTCATTGTGGACTGGTAACAAACAGTTCTCCGACAGTCAGTCCACAGACAACACTTTGAGTAGTTCTGGGGTCTGGCAACATGACTCATTTTAGTTAACCACAGTTCAATGAGCAGAGATGTATGGTAAACCTTACCTTCACGGGAGATGAATGCTGACATATTACATACAGAATAGAACTCTGAGAATGAGGAAAGTTTATGTATATATTGTGCGGTGTTTGTCCTAAAGTCCTTTATCTCATTTTATCCTTAATAAACCCTATAAAGTAGACACAATAGCATTACCCTATACACAAGTTAAAAAAAAAAAAAAGGACAATGAACCAAAAGTAACTGGGCTCAAATCAGCTAGCTAATTTTAGTCACAGGCAGAAGCTAGAACAGACCCCTTTATTTCTCAACCACTAATGAAAACTGAAAAGTGAGATGTTACACAGAAGCTCACCTTTAGTGATGCTAAGTGTGTTATCACCACTTGCTACAAAATCATAAAGTGCAACAAAGAGATTAGGGTCACTCTCAGTGGCTCCGAGCAAGTTCTCCTTGGAGCTCCACCTGATGGCTTCATTCAGTGCCTGGGGTTCAACATCACATCCATAGGGGCGGTGCAAGGCTTCTGAAAGACAGAAAAAGAGAAAGGAATTCACAGTAAGTTTAACAGTTGGAAATTCATTTGAATTCAGTACACCCATAGTATTTCAGCTGCTGACATATACTGACGGCTCCAGGGTGGATCAAAGCTGTACAGCCGTGGAGTCATGAAGGATGAGCACATGGCACCGTCTCCTAAGCAGGAGAGAAGTCTCCTTGTTGAAAATATAGCAGGATAGTCAGAGAACAGAACACAAAATGAGCATTTAGCTATGATTTCTACGCACTCACCAAAAATCAGAAATAAATGAATAGGAAAAGCACAGTTTTCTCAAAATGGAAAAAAAAAATCTCAAGAAATGGCAATTCATTTTATAAAACATACAGGATATTTTGTTGTGGTGATGGTGGTGGTTTTAAGAAGCAACAGCTATGTATTATAAGTCCTCCCAAACTACCCTTCTTCCCTTACTCTCTCCATATTAAACAAACTGTGGAAAAGATAACAGAGATTTTAAGAAATATGTACATATTGTATAAATTCAAATCCTCCATTTACACACAGAAAAAGCATTGAACTAGTGCTCTAGAAAATCCTAAAATTGTCTGTTAACAGAAAAATGTTTTAACACAAAATTGGTTTAAGACAAAATGGTTTAATGCAAAATATTCTTGGCATTCTAAATTACCTTTGTGTTACCATGCACTGTCTATAATGCAATTGTGAATCGTTTTTAATGAAAAAAATGTTTTACCCTATTTTCTTTTCCTAGGTGGTACATTTTAAAATAACTTAATTGAAGGCTCCAGAATATATCACCAACAACAGACATTTATTGAGTTTCTACCAAGTGTAATGGTTGAAAAAGACCTGGTTTCTTCCTCAAGGCTTTATGGTTCCTAAATTTAGTCACACTACACAAACAGGTGAGCCCTGTCCCATCTTAGTTAAAGATCACCTGCTTTTCAGAGCCCAGGTCGATCACACAAAAAATACACTGTTCTTCCAGTAGCGATTTTCTGGATCATTGGGACTGTTTTTAGTGGCTATCTGCCACTATCCAACTGCTTATGTCATATAACAACACGTTTTTATTATGCCCCCTCCCTCCACTCATTTTTAATTTAAAATTGGTTTTATCGTATTTGAAGGAGAAAAACCCTTGAATCTGTGGTATTCTTTCTTTTCAAATTCATTCCCTCCTCTCCATCTCTACTGCCAATGCCTTAGTTCAGATCCCCAGCATCTCTCACCTGGACTATTGCCTCCAGTCTTGTCTCCCTCAAATCCATCCTCCACACAGCTGGCAAAGTGATCTATTTAAAACAAAAATTTGACCATGTCACTCTTCTTAAGATTTTTCAATAGTTCACCATCAAGCTAAAATAAAATCTCTTTATCATGGCCTTCAAGGTCTTTTTACCATCAGGTCTCCACCTACTTCTCCAGCTTCACCTCTCCCCACTCCACACTTCAAATTTTTCTTTTTTGTGTGTGTGTGAGGAAGATCAGCCCTGTGCTAACATCTGCCAATCCTCCTCTTTTTTGCTGAGGAAGACTGGCCCTGGGCTAACATCCGTGCCCATCTTCCTCCACTTTATATGGCACGCCGCCACAGCATGGCTTGCCACGCGGCGTGTCGGTGTGCATCCGGGATCCGAACTAGGGAACCCCAAGCCATGGCAGCGGAGCGCGCGCACTCAACCGCTTGCGCCACTGGGCCGGCCCCAACACACTCCAAATTTTAAAGTTTAACACACACCATGACGCTTCCTACCTTTTTGCCTTTGTTTACACAGTCCTGTTTATCTGGAATGTGATCTCATCCCACCCTTTTTTGACTGGTTGACTTCTATTCATTTTATAACACTTAGCTCCAACATAACCTCCCCAAGGAAGCTTCACATGTTCCTCCTCCCTGTGCTCTCAAAAGCATTACACTTGCTGCATTAATACCCTCTATCTTTATCTTTATAATATCATCATATAATGTAATATAATCCTCTATTCATATAATCCTCATATAATAATCCTCATACAATATATCCTCATATAATATATCTTTATATTTATAACATCTTCAATTTATGTTTGTTTCCCAAACATCACAACATGCTTCTTGGCATAAGAATTGTATCTTTTTTCTAGCAAGAGTCACAAAATGTGTGTTCAATAACTGTTGATTGAATGAAGGACCAAATTACACAAAAATATAAGTGACTGGAAACAATGAGATTTATTTTAATCTTAAAATAGCACTAACCAATGTTTTAAAAATGGCTCCACAACTGTCTACATGATATAGAGAGAAATTCTTGTAGGTTGGATCTAATTCTCCTAATAGTTTTAGAGTTTATTTCCCTACATCACATTCTCTCCTCCTCTTAAAAGGAATACATCTTTAAAATTTCACAGCTAATTAATTTTTGTTTTACATTAAGAATATTATGACAAACCTGAAGATATGTTTGATGTTCTGAAGAGTTAATCTGAAACAGATGTGTCGCTCCTTGTTTAAATGCAGAGTTATAGTGAACAGGAATAGCTCTATCATATACCAAGATAACCAATTAGGATTACCAAACAAACAAAACACCATATTATATGAAACATCCTTCAAACTGGTCACATGTACTGTTTCTCTTTATTCTAACGAAAAATTTTCTACTCTAGCAGAATTTCCATTGGGCTACAAAATACCAACCCTTTATTACAATGAAAAGAATTGTCAAAAAGAAGTACAAAGAATATTCATAATATTTATTAGGTTCCATACTGAATATCACATGATCCACACTGATAAATGTTTCTTGCTAGTGACGGTAGTAACATATTACAATGTTTTGTGATTATTACTGTTTAGTGATTATCATCAAACAGTTCAAGTACATTTCCTTCTTTTTAAATAGAAGCAAGTCCCCCTTTTCTGAAATTATAAGAGGAAAAGATTATAAATCACCAATAACACAATTTGGACTTACTATAAAAAACCACTCTCCATTCTTCCCCCCAAATCTGCTTCTCTCACAGAATTCCTCATCTCAGTTAATGGCAATTCCATTTTTTCAGTTGCTCAGGCCAAAAACCTTGGCAGTTTGAGTAGAAAGTTCCAGCTATAAGATGAAGGAGTTCTATGGATCTAATGTATAGCACAGTGATTACAGGTAATAATACTGTATTATATACTTGAAAGTTGCTAAGAGAGTAGATCTTAAATGTTCTTACCACAAAAAAGAAATGGTAATTATGTGACATGAAGCAGGTATTACCTAACTCTACGGTAGTGATCATTTTGCAATACACAAGTGTATCAAATCAACACACAGTACACCTTAAACTTACACAATGCTATATGTCAATTATAAAAATAAAGATGGGGGGAGCAAAAAACCTTGGAATCATTCATGAAGGAATCATGAATAACTCCTCCCACTAGAAAATCAGTTTCATGAGGACAGGGATTTTTATCTGCTTTGTTCACTGATAAATTCCAAGCACCCAACAGTGCATGTATGTAAGAGGCTCTCAAAAAAGACTTGTTGAATAAATGAACCACGTGTACTGCTATACTCACAGCAGATACTACAAGACAACAGAAGAGAAAACAAAACTCTGGAATCAGAAAAGGTTTCAGAGGAGAGAAAGCATTTAAATTGGATGAGCAGGCATTCTGCACTGATGACAGTAGTATGACAGACTGTTAATGTGCAAGGACATGTCTATGACACGTGGTTCATCTGTACTGGACAGGAACTCAAGCTCAAAGGAGGATTGTTAAAGGCAAGCAAGCTGCTGCTTCTTAAAAACCATGCTATGTGACAAAAGGAGACAAAAGAATGAGAGCTACGGCACAATTTTATGTAAACTTAAAAGATATACAGGCCAAATAATACTGTACATTTCTCAAATATACAAAATAGTAAATACAGGACAAAAGTTGTTTTTGAGGCCAAAGTACTAAAAAAACCACAACTTGGAAAACAATACTTTTTATTCCCCACTCCCTTTCTTCCCATCTCTGGTTTTACGGTTTTTTTGGTCAAGCCAAAAGATCTATTTCCTTCCTTTCTTCCTGCTTCCCACTTACTCTTTTGTTCTCCTAGAACTAAGGGTCAATTTCCTGTACAATCCGTCTGCACAGGATATCTACTTAAACACCATCCTACTCACTAGCACCAAACAAAAGGGAACATTTTTCAAAGACAAAAAAACATCCTAACATTTTCCTCAGGCCAAGAATAAACATATATTAAATCATACAGGGTTAAAGAACTAAATGGGAGAGAACCAGGTAAGGAATGAAGGCAAAAAAGGAAGAAGAAAAAAAAAAAAGCCTACAGGAAGAGCAACTAAACGTCACAGTGCTTATCCAGCGGGTCTAGTCTAGGCCAATCCCCTCATCAGCTTGACAGCCAAATCTGGATGATTCAGATGTACTGCGCCCGCCCAAATCCAAGTGTGTAGGCTGGGAATGTCTTATTTTTGAACAATGTGAAGTGACCCACAGTGTCACTTCATATATCTAGTACCTAACGTGTTATATGTTAGGTACCTTAGTGAGTTAATCTTTCATTAACCACTGTTATAGAGTTAGATCATGGCCTTAAGACGAGATGATAGAGGACTGATTTTCACTTATGGAATACAGGACTCAAGCAGCAGAAATACATTATGACTATTAAGAAAAGGTAATTTTCTTACCTTTTTCTATTGATACACTTGCAGGGTACAATAAAAGTAAGGCAAAACATAGAAATAGCAGCTTGTACAAAGTAAATTATCAGGATTAAACAAGTTAAAATCCAGAATAAAACTCAAAGTCAAATTCAGAGATAATTCCTAAATTTAATGTTTAATTTTATTAAAAACACTTTTCACCAGTTAGTCATTCAATAACTTTTATCATTTTAATTAGAAATTTGTCAGGGAGTAATTGGAGAAATTAATGTACAAAATTTTCAGTTTAGGCATTTCCAAGTATTTTACAGTTATCTTGCCAGAATGCTACTTTATCTGATTGCATATTCTCTAAGAAGCAAATAATTTTTAATATCTCTTTTAAAAACTACGTAAGGATAAATCATGCAATAGTTCTCAATATAGCTTAAGTTCTTCATATCAAGCCATATGTATCTTAATACCACAAAACATTACATATTCTTAATTTATTCTTTCTTTCAAATCAGTACTTATTGAGGTCCTACTATGAAATACCAGAAAAAAGCACATGAAACTTCACTGGCCAACAATGAAGACAATAACAGCAGTACATAAGATTAATTTTTTGAAATCTACATTCACGCTTGATCACTGTGATTCTACCCTCCCCTAAACTATCACCTCTGAACCATACCTGTCAAGTTGGGTACAGCAGTTTCTGAGGCCTCACTACACAGGCAGCAAAGCGACGTGTCCTGATCTCTGCCATAACTATTAGGTGGAAGGAGAACTGTCCCAAGGACCATTCCTCTGCCCAGAAGCACAAAAGTTAAACTGTTCTATGTAAAGAGGAAGTCTTAGAATTCCACTTGCTGACAAGCAATACCACATGCATGTGACATGACTCATGTACTCAGTGGCCAGAGGGAACCAATAGAAGGGTTAGCATTTACAAGTCCCAAAGTGGGTGGAGAGTAACCTAAAGGAAAATGTCTAGTAATTAGCAAAAGATTGAGTCAGAATGAGGTTACCTCAAAACCTCTGGGAATGTTTTGAAAAAATAAATAAGTAAAGTAAAAACCAACACACATATGGGTAACAAATAATAAAATATGTAGAGATCGGTACATATTGATGCGATTTCATTCCTAAGTGGATGATGAAGTGACACTGTAGAGAAAAGTTTCCTTGGAGAAAACCTGTTTACATAAAACATCAAATACGCTTTTAAAAGAGAGGAAACGCCTAATAAGACTCATCTTTTGCATCACTTAAATTACTTCAAGAAACCACACATCCAAAGTCAAAGAAATAGTTACAATCTGATTCATAAGCACAGAAGCCAGGAAATGATTCCCTTCACTAACATTTTGGCTCTATAGCTTCATAAAAGTTAAAAACATGGCACAAAGTGTTGAAAACTTTTGAGTGTTAAAACTTTTAAAAGCAAAAGCCTAATCTTTGTTAATATATAGAAACAAAATTAAATAAAAGTTAAGAACCTGAAAATGGGACTACTTTATAAGAATTAAACTAATAAAATCTACAAATAGTGGATGACTTTATATAACCTACAAAAATAATATAAGAATGTTTATAACTGTACAGCTAAGAACTCTCATTGATTATTCAATAAATATTTATTAAGCACCTACTA